AGAGAGAGAGAGAGAGAGAGAGAGAGACACACAGAGAGAGAGAGAGAGAGAGACAGAGAGAGACAGAGAGAGACGAGACGAGAGAGAGACGTAGGGGAGCGCGGGAGAATTGGTCTGGCGGCAGCCCGCCCGTACGAGTTTGGCTACGAGAACCGATTTTAAATCACATTCTTTTCGCATTGTTTGGCTCCGTTTTGAGCTCGTCCAGTTCCATTTTACACGACGGGCAACGCATGTAGAGCGCTGGCCCGAGCGGAGTGCCGGTATGAAAACTCGAGAGAATGGGGGAGGAAAGGTCGTTGGGGCGAATGGACGGCAATGGTATTCACATATTACAGGACAAAGGCGCCCGTGTGCTCCTCCGCGGCTACAATCGGGGACGTAATGCAATCAGGGTGGTTGTTATTCGACTGTCCCACCACCCCGCCAAAGAATGCGCCCCCACCCCGCCCGGTACGACAGTCCAGGCCAGACGGTCGCGGCGAGATCGGGACACGAGGAGCAGAGCCACGCCGCGGGCCTGGCAGCTCTGATATGCATTTAAAATGGCACATCAAGTCCTCTTGTTGGTCTTTTCAGCACGCCACGCCACGCCCCGCCACGCCCCGGCAATACTCGCTATCTCCGCCCGCCAATGACCCACCCCGTCGGCGCGCTCAGTTCAGCGTTACTCGCTGCATTTGTACGGCCAAAGATGCTGGCCAACCTCCTTTCAGCACGGTCCGTGCGCTGCTCTAAGACCTGGCTCCGAGCGGTAGTTATGCTATGCTGTACCGCATGCACGAGTGCGGGCGGGTTGCCTATTCGCTCGGCTCATAAGGCGCCGTAGACAGGGGCGATAGGCAAGCCCGCCCGCACTTGTGCATGCGGTACAGTATACCTACAGAAGTGCGCGGTGTAAATCAGCCACTGGTACAAATGACCCCAGTTTGAGGTGTGGTAGGTACAAGGGAACTCCTTCAAGTGTGAATTTCTGATTTTTATCCTACTTCGGGAAATTGTTGATCTTGATCTTGATGTGTCGTCGAAAGATACATGAGAAAAAATCCCTAAATTCATATT